TACATTTTACCCCTATATTCTATTTTTAGCCATGGCGGCCATCTTGGTTGGCTGGCGGTGTCATCGGACACATTTTTTAAACTAGATACCCTATTGATGATTGTGGCCAAGTTTGGTTAAATTTGGCCCAGTGGTTTCAGAGGAGAAGATTTTTGAAAAAGCTAACGACGACGGACGACGACGACGACGACGACGACGGACGGACGACGGACGACGGACGACAAGTGATGAGAAAAGCTCACTTTGCCCTTCGGCCAAGTGAGCTAAAAAAAGAATCTGTATAATTAATTGAACCAATCGTTCTAAAGATTTGGATCTATCGTTTAAGAAGGACGAATGGACAAATTAGAACAAGGAACTGTCTCTGGCAATCACGTTTTTTGTAGTTTAATTTGAATGAACTATACGATGTATCTGCCAAGTTTGGATAAGAATAGCCATGTAGTTCCTGAAGAGATTTTTTTCCATCAGGTGTAATGAGTATCTATTTGGCATCAATGTCTCCGTATGTGCCACCATATATAGTGGCATACATATATATACCAGTATATCATATCAGCATGAAATGAGCATTCATTCAAGTGCGTTTTTAAACTCTGTGAACAGATTGGTCCTATAGTATAAGAGAAATAGAAACAAGAAAAATAGAAAATTTACCCATCAGAATCAAGACTTCCAGTGCTCAGTGTTCCATCAAATTCTTTTTGTGATCAAACATATGTCACCACATAGATCATTGGACACAGTATGGTGGCAACAACATGTCACTCATTATTTACTGAAATATATAAATTCACAAAACTGACAGTTGCTGGCTATTTTGTAAGATCTTTTTTTTTGTTATTTGCTCTCGAAAATTTCACATTGATACATGTATAAATGCATCTTAAATCTCATCACTTTTTGACTGGAAATGTTAGCTTCATAAAACACTGGCTGTCCATCTGTATCAGTGGTCTGTCCATCAGATTTTACTGTTTATAACCTGGGCCTCGGTGGCAGAATTGCCTAAGTAGTTAATCTTCTGTATCACTATCCTGTCAACACTCAGGTTGTGAGATCGAACCAACACGTGGCACGTGGAACTGTCATCCAACACTTTATATTTTAGCAATTGACTTTAATTCAGTACTTTACCATTAGGGTAAAGCTAATTATGGACATTACAGAACATTTTCACATCAGGAACTTAGTTTTGTCTTCAGATGTTCAATAACAATAGAGCTATGACCTAGACCTAATCAACAAACTATCAATACAGCTAGAGGTTACAATTTAAGTTTGTACATCTCTATGAAACAAAAAACCAACCAAACAACATTTAGATTGGCATTTGTCCTAAGTAAGAAGATAAAGCTTTACACAAACAGATTTTTTGCTATATAAGATTATTTTACCAAAATGCTAATGAGTGTAGAATATCTTGTGGTAGTAAAATAAAGTTTGACAAATGAAATTACAAGAGTGAACACGCGGACATGTCTCACCTGCTTTACTATTCATTATTTTAAGTTGATAGTTCTAAAGATAAAGTTTACTACAAGTATTATATTAACTTAAGATTATCAATGATCCATGAAAATAAGTTCAAGGTCACACAAATCCCTGCCAGACATACATGTACGCCTTTCAATCATTCCCTATATAAAATATAGTCTACCTTATTGCTTATAGTATCTGAGAAACAGACTTTAACCAGAAAACTTAATATTGACCAAGCAACCATGATAATGAGGTCAAAGTCAGATAAACCTTGCCAGACAGATATGTACACCTTACAATCTTTCCATATACCAAATATAGTAGACATATTGCTTATAATATCTTAGAAAAGGACCTTAATGCTGAAACTTAACATTGACCAATGAACCATGAAAATGAGGTCAAAGACAGATGATACCTGCCAGACAAACATGTGCACCTTAAAATCATTCTATAGACCAAATAAAGTTGACCTTTTGATTTTAGTATTAGAAAAACCGACCAAAACACAAAAACTTAACATTGACCAATGCACTATGAAAATGAGGTCAAAATCAGATGAAACCTGCTAGACTGACATGTACACCTTGCAATCATTTCATATACCAAATATAGTTGACCTTATGCTTACCGTATCTGAGAAACAGACCTAAGCATGTAACTTTAACCTTGATCACTGATCCATGAAATGAGGTCGAGGTCAGGTAAACCCTGTATGATGGCCATGTAGACTGTGATTCGCATTACAAAAAGACAGACAGAAAGTTTGTAACATATGGCATCTGTATACAAAGTATGAAGCCTCCAGATCTACTACCCTCTGAAATTATACCTTAATACAATTAGTATATGCCGCAACTGCCAGATACAATCCCAATGTCTCACATTCTGTAATTTCCATTACAGGCAAGACAAAAACCTTAGGAATTACAGAATCAAAAACTTCAAAATTTCACATTTTCCTCATAACCCTATTGTAGGATGTAATAAAATGCTCAGCAGGGCGCAGCTTGATACGACCGCAGATGTCGAACCCTGAACAGTTGGGGGAAGTATGGACACAACATTCAAGCTTGATACAGCTTTGGATTTGGATTGTGATTAAATATTTGACACAGCATAGGTTTCTAACACAGATTGAATGTGGTCTAAGAACTTAAAAATTTTAAATTGGACATTCACCTATTATGGTCCAATATCCAAAATCTAAATACATGGTTAGATTCAGCATATCAAAGAACCCCAAGAATTCAATTTTTGATGAAATCAAACAAAGTTTAATTTCGGACCCTTTTGACCTCAATGTGGACAAAGTTGATAACGGGGCCCAAAAATCAAAAATCTAAATACATGGTTAGATTCAGCATATCAAAGAACCCCATATATTCAATTTTTGTTGAAATCAAACAAAGTTTAATTTTGGACCCCGATTTGGACCAACTTGAAAACTGGGCATATAATCAAAAATCTAAATACATGTTTAGATTCAGCATATCAAAGAACCCTAAGAATTCAATTTTTGTTAAAATCAAACTAAGTTTAATTTTGGACCCTTTGGACCTTAATGTAGACCAATTTGAAAACGGAACCAAAAATTAAGAATCTAAATACACGGTTAGATTCGGCATATCAAAGAACCCCAATAATTCAATTTTTGATGAAATCAAACAAAGTTTAATTTTGGACCCTTTTGACCTCAATGTGGACAAAGTTGATAACGGGGCCCAAAAATCAAAAATCTAAATACATGGTTAGATTCAGCATATCAAAGAACCCCATATATTCAATTTTTGTTGAAATCAAACAAAGTTTAATTTTGGACCCCGATTTGGACCAACTTGAAAACTGGGCCCATAATCAAAAATCTAAATACATGTTTAGATTCAGCATATCAAAGAACCCTAAGAATTCAATTTTTGTTAAAATCAAACTAAGTTTAATTTTGGACCCTTTGGACCTTAATGTAGACCTATTTGAAAACGGAACCAAAATTTAAGAATCTAAATACACAGTTAGATTCGGCATATCAAAGAACCCCAATAATTCAATTTTTGATGAAATCAAACAAAGTTTAATTTTGGACCCTTTGGACCTCAATGTGGACCAATTTAAAAACGGGGCCCAAAATCCAAAAACTACATACACGGTTATATTCAGCATATTAAAGAACCCCATGAAATCAAGAATAAAACCCCATTGAAATTGGTCAAGAAATAAGCAATTTATAGGAAGTATCTTCTTTTGCACAATCCTGTGCTATTAAATATTTCTTGCTATTGCGCAATACTGTACAATTGACAATTTCTTGCTATTGCGCAATATTGTGCTATTGGATATTTCTTGCTATTGCACAATACTGTGCAATTGAAGATTTCTTGCTATTGCGCAATTGAAGATTTCTTGCTATTGTGCAATACTGTGCAATTGAAAATTTCTTGCTATTGCACAATACTTATTATATAATAATTTACACATCCTGTTTGGTGTGTATCTCCTACCATATCATTATTATTTGATTTTAAATATAAATCAGAAATAACCAACTTTAAATGGAAAATTTTAAAAGAAACAAAAAAGGAAAAAAAGAAAAAAAAGGAAAAAAAAATAAATCCCCCCCAAAAATTTTTTGAACCCCCATTATGATTCATCACCCCCAAACTCAATCCCAGCCTTCCCTTTGTGGTATGGTACCTTGCAGTACAATTTCAGAGAGATCCATACACTTGAACACAAGTTATTGTCTGGAAACTAGAAAAAAATGTGTTTTTTGGCCCCTTTTTGGCCCCAAATTCCTAAACATTTAGGGCAATTACCCCCAAACTCAAACCCAGCTTTCCCTTTGTGATATAGAACCTTGTAGTACAATTTCAGAAAGATCCATACACTTACACACAAGTTATTGTCATGAAACTAGAAAAATGCTTGTTTTTTGCCCCTTTTTTGGCCCCTAATTCCTAAAATTTGGAGGCAATTACCCCCAAAATCAATCCCAGCATTCCTTTAGTGATATGGAACCTTGTGGTACAATGTCAGAGAGATCCATACACTAACACACAAGTTATGTCTGGAAGTTACAAAAATGCTTATTTTTGGCCCCTTTTTGGCCCCTAATTCCTTTACTGTTATTACCATAACCCCCAAAATCAATCCCAACCTTCCTTTTGTGGTATTGAACCTTGTGGTAAAATTTCATAAAGATCCATTCACTTAAACTAAAGTTAGAGTGCGAAAACCAATGTGTCTTCAGACGACGCCGGACGACGACATCGACGGACGATGACGACGCCAACGTCATACCAATATACGACCACAAAAATTTGTTTGCGGTCGTATAAAAATGTATGGATACCATTTCACAAAGCGCACAATGTATGTAACTTTATATACATACACATGCAAACAACAGTCTAACCAGTTCTTGAGTGCTTTTTGAAATTAGATTGCCTAATTAGTACCTTATTAGGCAGTGGTAATATTAAACCATGTATATTCCTCGTAAATAAATAAATAAAACAACAGATATTCTATTGATTTAATAATCTCACGTCTTCCATTATTAAGTATGGTTCTCAAATCATGTATTAGTAACATGCAATGAATTTGTTAACTGCGCTATTGTTCTCATATTCATCTGTCACCAAATGTAACAACTCAATCAAAATTCATACCATTTTCACACAAACATTTCCATACACATAAGATAAATTTGGGGGACTATCCAACCTATCTATAAATTTGAACATTTAAGGTGGTACCTAACACTACAGGGAGATAACTCTGTAAAAATCAGCTAAACGTTTTAATCACGTTGTTTTGTTAAGAAAATATTACGCTTCTCAATGATCAAAATTAGTGTTTGTCAAACTGCTATATAACCAACGAAATTTTTCTGATAAAGTGGTTGGTTCAAATTCTTTGAAATTTTTATATTTTTGTCAAAGGGTCAAAGTAAACATTATGTCAAAATTTTATGAAAATTAAACGAGCCAAATTAATTTTAGTCAAGGTGTTGGGTACCACCTTAAGGAAAATAAGAAGTCATATTGTCCTTTTTTCAAAACTTTTGGGTATACACTTTTTTCTTTAAGGTTATCACGATAAACACTATGAATACAGTCAATTCAGCATGTTTGATTTCGAACACAAAAACGACCATTGAAAGAAATAATGACTGTGAAAATACAGTAAAACTTTTCCAAAAAAAAAAAACCCAGCATAAACTGAAAACCTTTTTTAACCAAACTCTAGTAATTCAACCTGTGTAAGACCCTTAATAAATCATAGTAATTCTATCATTGTCATTTCTTGCAGGTCAATAATATATATATTTTCAACTTAGTAAAATGTATTGTGATTTTTACAAATATAACAATGATTATTACGTCATCTATTTCACCTGATTGGACATGGCTAAAAATAGCTAAATAAATAGTTCTATTTTAGTAATGGTAACATAGGAGTTATTGAAAATCTATAAAAATTTGCATGCATTTATGATTGTAATGGCTGAACAATAAACAGAAATTAGCAATTGCTGCATACAAATAATGCAATCAGAATTTAAAATGTGATTTTTTTCTTTCGCAGAACCAGATCCGTTTCAATTTTTCACAAATATAAAAACATAGCAAAAATATTTGAATTTAGCGTACTACTCACAAGTGATCAATAACATTGAGTAATATAATTGTATGTTGATATACTGATTTCTTATATGCTTATGCAATGTTTCAAAATCTGAAGGATTGTGGGTAATTTAATTTCTTAACAAAATAAAATTAAACCATTGTCATTGGTTGGATATGGATATCCATTATTTGAGATGTTGATAACTTATCCTTAAGTTTGGTGTCACTTTTGAAAATATTTACCAGCTGTAAATAAATACAGTAAAATACAGTGAAACCTTTAAACTGCTGGTTTTCTTTTTTTTTTAATGAAAAATTATTAACACGGTTGCATCAGTCCTGTTTAATAAGGTAAAATCAATGCTTTAATTAAATATCGAGGGAGGTAATAATAATCTTAAAAATAATATGCATGCAACAAAGCAATGACTAAAACAATCATAACAAATTTATTCCTTTTGCAAAACACTCACTTCCATATTTTAAGCTCACAATATTTTTCATATAAACAAATTAAAATATACCATATGTAATATATAGAGATTCTACATGTACTACATTTAACACATAAGTTTTGACGGATACTGTGAATTCATTTATTTTTTGGGGATACAAATTTTCTTGCTTTTGTTGGTGTAAGAAACACCAAATTCAAATGTTCAGCAAGGTGTAAATTGTCTATTGGCTTGAATACAGAATTCTGAAGAAAAAAACACAAAAAATAAAATTTTTCCTCGATCAACAAAAATTGACATCCACGAAAATAAATGAATCCACAGAACTGCAATTTTTGATAGCATTTTACAATCTTTAAATGACATTTACCTACACAGTGCAATTGACATATACAAATACAATGTTCAGATATAACTCACATCTAACATTTTTACTTTTTACTTTTTAATCATAAGTTGCTTTACAAATATTAGCTTTTTCAAAAAGCTTCAAATATAAGAACATACATGTAGCTAAGCAACTATGAAAAAAAGAACATGTTAATCAAAATTGATCCTTGAGGACTCATTTACAATCCATTGCACAAAATGAACTAAAATAAGTTGAGCTCTTAATGTCTTATTTGATTTCACTGCTTTGTTGGATACTGTTTTTTATCTCAAATAACATATACTAATAATTTCCTTTTATTCATATATCAAGATGTTTCATTGTCAAATCTAGTTCTCTGCTACAAGTAAAACTAGTTCTCTTTCTTAATTTCAATCTTTTCTCTCTCTTAATTTCAATCTTGTAAGAGTTATAAAATGGCATTTGAAAACTATAGATAAATAGTAAATATATACCGCTTTTTCTGCACATGTCTGAGTTAAATTATATAACTATTAATTTTCAAAGTCCCTGAAATTGTGTGATTTATAAAGGACACAGGAGGTATGAATAGAGTGATTATCTGGCCCTTCAAACAGCAAAAATTGTGAATTTCTTCAATTCTTTCAATATTGATAATTTTTCTTTTATAATGATATAATGTGAACATTTGAGTACAGAAATGTCAGTCATGATGTCATTGTGTTGTTAGAAACATGTTTAAATATTTTACCTAAAATGACCATTTTACTGTCATAGTTTTTGGAAAAATTTATTAAAAAGATATATAAACCTTTTTTAACATTCATGAATTAGACATCTTGTAACAAAATACCTATTTGGGTAACCCTTGGCTCGTATCTAAATATAAATGACAAGATCTCAAAATGAAGCTTTTTTGTCAGTTTTTCCAGTGTTGCGACAAATGAAAGAATTTTGGAGTCCAAAGCAAAATTTGTTAGACATGATTTAAAATATAAATTTATCTTTTTTAGAAGACTTATATCATAAAAGTCTTTGATTTTCATAGCAATAGGAATTAGTTATCTTTTAAGTATAAAAAATACATACAAGAATTTCCATATATAAATAGTAAACAATTCTTGATTAACAATATTGCATGAAAACTATATGACCTTGAGATTCCAACATATAAACAAATCATTGGCTAAGGACAAAATAGAGAGCTCTGAATATGTTGCATATTTGCATATTCAATACACTAGACATTGTCAGAAATACGATTGAGGTATAACTTGTAACAAACAAATATTGTAATTTTTTACTTTCTATTTCATTAAACTACAGTGATTAGATAAGTTATGTTTCTTTGTATATCTTATAAACTTCATGGTACAATTTTTTTTAAACAATGGGTTTACTCGGGAAAACTACAAATGACGGTCTGAATGCTCAAGAACCCATAAAATCAAGATGATCAACGATATATGAAGTCAGGAGCCTGTAAGTCGGTAGTTCTTGTTTGTTGTTATCTGATTTTCATTTATTGTTTTGTACATAAATCAGGCTGTTAGTTTTCTTGTTTGAATTGTTTTATATTTGTCATTTTGGGGCCTTTTATAGCTTATACTGTGTGGTATAGGTTTTTCTCATTGTTGAAGGCTGTATGATGACCTATAGTTGCTATAGATTCTCTATTTTCATTTCTTTGGCATTTTTTTTTACTGATCACAGAAATGAACATACAATGAAATCCATATTAACAAACATAAATTTTTTAGTTCAAAAAACTTGTCATATTAAATTTCATCTCATATACCCTGAAAAGAAGCAGATGAAATGGATTTCATCGTATCATATCAATAAAAGTAATTAATTTAAAATTAAAACCTAATGTGTATCATTCTAAAAAGTCTACAACTTCGTCCAATTCTCTCTGTCTAGCCTGTTTATGTGCCCATCTGGCTTCCATCAGTTGAGGTGAGAGTTTAAACTTATCATGATATATAGCATTACCACAATCTGGACATATTTTACCAGCTGTAAAATAAAATAAATTTAATTTAAATTTACACATGAACTAACGGATCACAAAACATCATAGCTATTACTGTAAATTCAGAAATTATTGCGAGGTTTTTATTATTGTAAATAATTCGACTGGGGGAGTACCGCAATATTAAGAACTCGCATTCTGATATCCAATACATATACCTGTCTGTAGATTTTCTGGAAATCACAATAATTAATCTTGCATTTTTGTTCTTTCTTCAAAAATCGCAATAATAAATGCACGTAATAATTTCTGAATTTACATTATTTCATTTTTTTGTACTGCTAAAATAAACTGTAAATTGATTTTTATTCCCATAATTAACTAGTGATTTTTATTTCATATTTTATACTGTCAAAACAAACTAAAACAAGCATTCTGAGAGTATTGCATGGCAATACATAGTCCCCTACTGGGTAAAAATTCATTATACTGGAACAAAATGCTAACTTGTTATATAACTTGCCATGGTGTAAACAAAAAGTAAATATCATGTCAATATCTTCAAGCATGACTAAAAACAGTGTGGAAAACTGATTATATGAGTGAATTTTTCAAGTCCAAGGACCATAACTCTGCACAAAATTATTAGACCGAAACAAAAATCTGAACTTGATCTGTAACTTGTCATGATAAAACTATATACCAATTATCAATCAATATCGTACAAGCATGATGAAAAAAACATAAGATATGATTAATAGTTCTCTAAAATTAGATATGATGTAATACAGTGTATATCTATTTTACTATCAATATAATTAATAGTTCCAAATATTTTTTCTTTCATTTGTCACAAACTAATATAGATTTGTAACTTATCTATAAAATGTCAACAACTTTTATCTTCACAATGTAATGTATTGAAATATATACATAATAAAAATAGATTATTATCTAATTAAAGGATTTCTCGTCATAATTTTGTTTTTATATATATAGCATTCAGAAAATTAGTTTATACTAAATAACTACCGGTAATAAACCTGCCAAAAAATTCTTCAAATAATTGAACAAAGAATGTCTTTTGAAAAATTAGTTATCTCCCTTTGTACAGAAATATGGTTTAACATAGTACTCAAACATTAGATATGATCCAGAGTTATGGTCCATAACTCTGGATTAAATCATCAGACTGGATGATGATTTAATCTAAGACCACAATTTACCTAAAAAAAACAAAATTGGTCAAAAACCAAACCAAGAATTACCATCAACATGAAACATAACGTTCTTAATTGAAAAAATGGTCCAAACTAGTAAAATTAAGTCTATGACAAATGGAATAAGACAAATGAACTTTGACATAGGAAGTTGTACAAACATTATGACACACTCTCTGGTGTTGGTTAATATGTATACATGTCAAGTATAAAGTATGAAATTATAACAGTTCTCTAGATTAGAGCGGACACAATTTGTTACGGACGGACAGACGGATGGACGGACAGACTGATCACTATAGGAAGACCCGCCTAGTGGCGGGGCCCTATTAAGTCCATGACATATGGAATCAGGCAATTAAACTTGACAAAATACTTCACTTACTTCTTACAGCATTGGTTATTGCTAAATAAATTTTGAAAATAAACATGATTATCCAATTAACATCCCAATGATTTTGGCAGTGTCTTCTAGTACTTACTGTAGGTGAAGTTATGTTACTTGGTTTTTTTTCAAAAAGAGTTATCTCCCATACTTATTGCGAGAGCCCCTGAGGGTTCATGCATATATGTTAGTGAGAAATAAAGTCTATGGAGGAATATTCGGAAGCTAAATTATTGTTCATTCCGAACACTTATTCTTCTTATCTGTATTAGCTTCCTTAAACTATCTATAGATCACTTTCAAACATGTATGTTTATTTTAAAGCTACAATTTATGCATCGCAAGTGTTCACTTGAGCAAAGTTGACAGTTGTAATCTGTCGTGCTCTTGGAAGTATCGGTTTGATTAACAAGTGAAAGTTTAATGGTCAAGATTTAACGACATATGGTATCGAACATCTGTGTCTAGATATTCACAGAGAGATATTAATGGTGTTGTGGTTTCTACATAATGAGTTATAATGGGCTTTGGTGGTTAGATTTGTTGATTTGTAACAATAAAATGTATGCACACTTTTCGTTTTGACAAATCAGACAAACAAAAATTTCCGTTTTAAGAACTGAAAATTAAACAAATAAAATAAGTAAATTACACTGTTCATTAAGTTTAAACCATGATCATCAATACTAACGATGTTTTATTGCTTTTTGGTTTTTTTATATACATTTTGACATTAAACTCCTTTTAACTGCATATTTTAGCGAAGAAAAAGAAACTGTTTATTCTATATTTTTAATATTTTTGTCACCAAATTTCACAGTTATTCAATTTAAAACATAGTATCTTAATGAGAACTTTTGATTTTTTGTAATGTGTGTATATTAAAGTACAATTTATTTGCATATATAGATTGTTTCAGATTTCTTTTTTTTATTATTATTCATTTTTGTCGAGCCTACGACTTTTGTTGCAAAAGTGAGACATAGCGATCCTACAGTCCGTCTTCGTCAGTGTTGTCGGCGGCGTCCACAAATATTCATTCTGTGGTTACAGTTTTTGAAATTTTAATAACTTTCTTAAACTATCCTGGATTGCTACCAAACTTGGACAGAAGCTTGTTTATGATCATAAGATAGTATCCATAAGTAAATTTTGTAAAAAAAAATCCTATTTATCCGTATTTTACTTATAAATGGACTTAGTTTTTCTGCCAGTTAACATTACATTCACGATGTGGTTAAAGTTTTTTTAAATTTTAATAACTTTCTTAAAATATCCTGGATTGCTACCAAACTTGGACAGAAGCTTGTTTATGATCAAATGCTAGTATCTAGAAGGAAATTTTGTGAAAAATTTATTTCCTGTTTTTCCGTATATTACTTATAAATGGACTTAGTTTTTCATCCAGTTAACATTACATACAGTCTGCAGTTAAAGTTTTTAAAACATTTATTAGATTCATAAACCATCCTGGATTTTTACCAAACTTAGACAGAAGCTTCTTATTTATTTATTTCATTAACTGTAAATCTATTATGTGCATTCCCCTATCACACTGAAAATATAGACAACAGCAAAAGTAGGTGAGACACTGGGTTCCGGGGAACCCTTAGGAATTTTTATATATACAGATTTCATTTCTAAATTTGTGGGCGGGGATGTTATATCTATCTTTTTAATACTGGTTAATGAAATCATAATACAGTGTGTACTGGTTGGTCATTATCGCGTATGATACGATTTTGACACGCCTACATAGCTGATGAATATTCATGACTTTATAGATAAGAACAGCACGTGTAGCCAAAAACTGAGAGTTGTAGATTATAGTAGCGTTAATGTATATATATGTAGTTTTGAGAATACAAAATAATAACAGAGATATAGTTTTTAATTTTTAGTAATCCGAGCGAGTATTACATGGATCTATCACTGCTTTTAGAAACTTGTGTCTTCTATTGTTTGTCTCCTTGGGCAAATAAACTACAATACCTGCTTATAGAAATAAGGCTGAATCAAAACTGAACACGTTCTTTACTCTTTGTCCAGACATACCTGGGACTGTTCGTTAATAGTCCCAGGAAATTCTCATACTTTTAATAATAAAAATATATTATATACTTTTTTAATGAAGGAAATAGATTTAACAACTGCATGTTAATCTTCTATGAGGTCTTCAAAAACATTTTATGCAAAAGAAAAAATACAAATACACAAAACAATTAACTCTACATTTTTACACTGAATAAGCATAAGTACTCAATGGATTCTGTAAACATGGTAAAGTTAGAAAAAGAGTGTATTTGATCTTACATTCGGGGTATTTAGCATAAAAAAGTTCTAAGGTTCACGTATTGTCTTTTTTTTTTAAAAAGCAAATTGTTTTATGTAAAATCAGTACTAGGAAATAAAGGCAGCTAGACTTTACAACAGGAATTTATGTCCAGACCTTTTTAATGACAGAGTTTTAACAAAGATGAATAACATGAATTACCTCCCATATATCAGAAAACATATGACATTATCAAAATGAGTTAATATATATATATCTCAATAGCTAGTGGAGTTACTTCCCATGTAATCTGAAAACAAATGACATTATCATAATGAGTTCATTAATACATATCTGGTATCAATGGCTAGTGGAGTTTCATCATAGTAAACATTTCCATTGAATTACCAAACTTTGAATAGAGTTATCTTCCATACTTACTGAAAGGTGGTGTTTTTACATATTTGTACAAGCAACCAAAGTGGAATAAATGACCACAATACAACTTTTCCATTCTTTTTCTTTTATCTGTTACTGGTTCCTAAAAACAAGGAAAACATTTGTCTTAAATCTCAACTAGACACAGATGATGCCCCAGCAGTAGGCTTGAATATAGTACAGCAAATATTTGATTAAAATGGAATGCCACAGCTGTCTTATGGGGTACTCTGATATTACGTTATGTTGTATTATTATAACTTGATATTTTGTCTTTACAAAATATGGTTTTGACATTTCGTAATGATGTTTTGCTATTACTCAATATGGAATAGTCATTAATTAATGATATTTCAATATTACATGATATGGTTTCGTATGGACTTGATATGGTTTTGTCATTACTCGATGTGGTTTCATCATTATTTATTGTGGTTGTGTTATTAGGCAATGTGGTTTTAACATTACTTGATGTGTATGTGGCTTAACATAATGTAGTTGATGTGGTTTTGTTATTTCGTAATGATGATTTGCCAATTCCTTGTATGGCTTTAAAATTACATAATGATGTTTCAAAATTTGACAATCTTACACTACATGATGTGTTTGTTTCAGTATTTGATGTGGTCCTGTCATTCTTTGTTGTGGTTATCACATTACTTGATGAGGTAAAACCATGTGACTATTTGGGAAAACTAGTTCTATTTTTAAATGCCTCGGATGAGTGTGGCAATCCATTGAGTTAGAGTTCAAATTAAAGTTCGGGTTACTGTTCGAATTAAACTTCGAGCTAGTCTTCCATTTAAACTTCGAGTAATTTACGATTTCGAGTTAGAATTCAAGTCATAACTAGAATTAAAGTTCGAGTTAGCATTGAGTTTCGAGTTGAACTTCGAGTTTGAGTTACCTTTTGAGGCAGAGTTCAAGTTAGACTTCGAATTTGAGTCTCATTTAGATTAAGATTAAAATTGGAGTTATCTAATATGAGTTCATATTCAAATTTTCTATCATGGATCAAGGGCTTTTGCGTTGGCTTCCAAAAAAGGGTTAAGGGGTATGCGTACGAAAGATAAACAATGTTACAGTATACAAAATAACAAATAAAAATCGAAATAAAGTTAGATGTGGTGTGATTGCCAATGAGACAACTATCCACCAGAGTTTTAATGCAGTGGATGTAAGCAATTAAAGGCGCTAGTAACTAATAACTAGACAACTTACGAAAAACAAATATGACACACATGAAACAACGACACCATTAAATAACAGGCTCCTGACTTGGGACAGGCACATAAAGAATATGCACGTGGCGGAGTTAAACATGTCTGTGAGCGTTAAACCCTAACCCTACCATGGGTGAATAGTGTTACAACCCAATACAAGAATAAACTGTAATAAAATGCTCCGCAGGGCGCAGCTTGATACGACCGCAGAGGTCGAACCCTGAACAGTTGGGGCAAGTATGGACACAACATTCAAGCTTGATACAGCTTTGCATTTGGATTGTGATTAAATAATTGACACAGCATAGGTTTCTGACACAGAATGAATGTGGTCTAAGAACTAAAAATTTTAAATTGGACATTCACCTATTATGGTCCAATATCCAAAATCTAAATACATGGTTAGATTCAGCATATCAAAGAACCCCAAGAATTCAATTTTTGATGAAATCAAACAAAGTTTAATTTTGGACCCTTTTGAACTCAATGTGGACAAAGTTGATAACGGGGCCCAAAAATCAAAAATCTAAATACATGGTTAGATTCAGCATATCAAACAACCCCATATATTCAATTTTTGTTGAAATCAAACAAAGTTTAATTTTGGACCCCGATTTGGACCAACTTGAAAACTGGGCCCATAATCAAAAATCTAAATACATGTTTAGATTCAGCATATCAAAGAACCCTAAGAATTCAATTTTTGTTAAAATCAAACTAAGTTTAAATTTGGACCCTTTGGACCTTAATGTAGACCAATTTGAAAACGGAACCAAAAATTAAGAATCTAAATACACGGTTAGATTCGGCATATCAAAGAACCCCAATAATTCAATTTTTGATGAAATCAAACAAAGTTTAATTTTGGACCCTTTCGACCTCAATGTGGACCAATTTAAAAACGGGGCCCAAAATCCAAAAACTAAATACACTGTTAGATTCAGCATATTAAAGAACCCAAAGAATTCAAGAATAAAACCCCATAGAAATTGGTCAAGAAATAAGCAATTTATACGAAGTATCTTCTTTTGCACAATACTGTGCAATTAAATATTTCTTGCTATTGCGCAATACTGTACAATTGACAATTTCTTGCTATTGCGCAATATTGTGCTGTTGAATATTTCTTGCTATTGCGCAATACTGTGCAATTGAAGATTTCTTGCTATTGCGCAATACTGTGCAATTGAAGATTTCTTGCTATTGTGCAATACTGTGCAATTGAAAATTTCTTGCTATTGCACAATACTTACTATATAATAATTAACACATCCTGTTTGGTGTGTATCTCCTACCATATCATTATTATTTGCTTTTAAATATAAATCATTAAATAACCAACTTAAAAGGAAAATTTTAAAAGAAAAAAAAAAGGAAAAAAAGAAAAAAAAGGAAAAAAAAAAAAATCCCCCCCCAAATTTTTTGAACCCCCTTATGATTCATCACCCCCAAACTCAATCCCAGCTTTCCCTTTGTGATATGGAACCTTGTAGTACAATTTCAGAAAGATCCATACACTTACACACAAGTTATTGTCCTGAAACTAGAAAAATGCTTGTTTTTTGCCCCTTTTTGGCCCCTCATTCCTAAAATATTGAGGCAATTACCCCCATCATCATTCCCATCCTTCCCTTTGTGGTATGGTACCTTGCAGTACAATTTCAGAGAGATCCATACACTTGAACACAAGTTATTGTCTGGAAACTAGAAAAATGCTTATTTTTGGCCCCTTTTTGGCCTCCAATTCCTAAACGTTTCGGCAATTACCCCCAAACTCAATTCCAGCTTTCCCTTTGTGATATGGAACCTTGTAGTACAATTTCAGAAAGATCCATACACTTACACACAAGTTATTGTCCTGAAACTAGAAAAATGCTTGTTTTTTGCCCCTTTTTTGGCCCCTAATTCCTAAAATTTTGAGGCAATTACCCCCAAAATCAATCCCAGCATTCCTTTTGTGATATGGAACCTTGTGGTACAATGTCAGAGAGATCCATACACTAACACACAAGTAATGTCTGGAAGTTACAAAAATGCTTATTTTTGGCCCCTTATTGGCCCCTAATTCCTTTACTGTTGGTACCATAACCCCCAAAATCAATCCCAACCTTCCTTTTGTGGTATTGAACCTTGTGGTAAAATTTCATAGAGATCCATTCACTTAAACTAAAGTTAGAGTGCGAAAACCAATGTGTCTTCGGACGACGCCGGACGACGCCAGACGACGACGACGACGCCAACGTCATACCAATATACGACCACAAATATAAAAATCAGTTGCAATTGGCTTAACTCTATAGATCGGTATGACTAGGCAACATAAATCCATCAAAATCCTGGGGTGATATTGGGTGCTCCAGAAGAGTAAGCAGATCTTGCTCAATGTGTGGCACCCGTCATGTTATTCGTGAAAGTACAAACCCAGTGATTTGGTCTAATTCGGTAGGTCACATTTGAGGAAAAGAGGACGGGATTGTGGTTACGACAACTGGAACATATCCGTTGTCACCTGTGAAACAGATATTCCAAAAAGTTTAGTTTTTTTTCAATTTAGTGCGAGGTATATCAGAGAATGGAATTGATAGAAATATATATTAAAAGATTGATATTCCTATATGTTCAAATGATAATACACGCTAAATAAAATCCAAGAATTCTTATTTTATAGAATTGATGCTTTGTCGCTTTGTCCGATCCCCAATTTCCCTGTAACTTTAGTGCGAGTTGATTTAAAGTGTCTCATTTGTTGACAATAAAGTACAAGTCATTTGATGTGTGTCCAGCCTGCGATATTAATGTCACGGAAGTGAGACACAACAAACCTATATTCCGTCGTTGGCATCTTCATCATTTAGATCGTTAGGTTACTTGTTTGAATTGTTTTTACATTTGTCATTTCTGGACCTGTTATAGCTTCCTATGCGGTATGGGTTTTGCTCATTGTTGAAGACCATTCAGTGACATATAGTTGTAAACTGCTACGTCATTTTGTATGTGGTGGAGAGTTGTTTCATTGGCAATCATACCACATCTTCTTATTTTTATATAAGTTTTATTTGCATTAAATATTACCAAATTAAACTATTTTGTCATGATAAATTTGTAAACCTCAATGAATTGTTATAAAACTTGTATAGGAGTTAATCTTCTATATCAAGATGAAGCATGTACAGAAAAACAATTTTTTAATTTTGTTTTTTACCGATAAATGGACGTTTTAGTCAACATTACACTCTTACAATGACAGCAGCAATCTCAGGTGAGACACAGGGTTCCGTGAAATTCTTCACAAATTTATTGTAATACTGCTTCCATTTGAGATCTAAGGGAAAAAAACGGCAGGACCATGTGGTTTGGGGATATCCCCCTTATGTCCGAAATATATATATTTTTTTGTACTTTTTTTCTTATTTTTGTCTGCCTGGATAGCGACACTCATCAGAAGCACATTAAACAAACGACATATGGAAATTGGTCTAAAAATAGAACTATTTTTTTCCAAAATGGTCACGAGGCTTTACCTCATCAAGTAATGTGATAACCACATCAAAGAATGACAGGACCACATCAAATACAGGAACAAACACATCATGTTGTGTAAAATCGTCAAATTTTGAACCATCATTATGCAATGTTATAGCCATATGAAGAATTGGCAAATCATCATTACGAAATAACAAAACCACATCATGAATTGAAACAAATACATAACGTTAAGCCACATACACATCAAGTAATGTTAAAACCACATTGCCTAATGACACAACCACAATAAATAATGATGGAATCACATCGAGTTATGACAAAACCATATTGAGTAATAAAATAAACTGTTGACACAGAGATATGTCTCGCCTATTTGTAATTTTGATAATGCAAATGTTGAAATTAAAATAGCAATACTTTAACATGTAAGTTATGCAAATATTCAAAGTCAATGAACCATGACTGAAGGTACATAGGTAAACAATCTGCATGGAAATGAGATGTGTCAATGCTAATACAAATGCATACCAAATACCATTGACTTATCATAAATCGTTTCCTTTAACCAAGTCTAAACACAAACATTAACTTGTAAACTATGTAAAAGTTTCAAAGTCAATGAACCATGATGAGGGGGTGGGGCTATATAATCTCCATAGAAATGCCAATAAATTTACATACCAAATATCATTGACTTAACATAATTGGTTCATCTTAAACTAATCTAATCACCAACTAATACATGTAAACTAAGCAAAAGTTTCAAAGTCAATAGACCATGACTGAGGGGGCTGGGCCAAATATTCTCCATGGAAATGAGATTTGCCAATACTTATATAACTGCATATCAATTAACACTGGCCTACCACTAATGGTTTCCCTTGAACTGACCTAATCACAAACTAATACATCAAAACTAAGCAAAAGTTTCAAAGTCAATAGACTATGACTGAGGGGGCAGGGCCAAATAATAACCATGGAAATGAGATGTGCCAATGCTGATACAAATGCATACCAAATATCATTGACCTACCACTAGTGGTTCACCACAAACTAGACCTAATCACAAACTAATACATTGTTGACGCCGCCGACGATGCCGGAAACAGCATACCTATGTCGACTCCGTCAAGGTGAGACAAAAACCATATCAAGTCAATACGAAACCATATCATGTAAAATCGAAATATCATTAAGTAATGACTATTCCATATTGAGTTATATCAAAACATCATTACGTAATGTCAAAACCATATTATGTAAAGACAAAATATCATCAAGTAATAATAAAACAACATAAGGTAATATCAGAGTACCACATAAGACAGCTGTGGCATTCCATAGATTTAGTAAACATTGATGTTTTACATACAACTTGAAATGGTTGTCTCTGGAAGACACAATTTGATGCCCCAGATGATTTATTCCATTGTGTTCTTGATTATATTAATCAATTTATTGCTTTTATTCTTTTCAAACTTCTTAACTCGAGTTTTGCAAATTTAACAGAAGTTAAATAGGAAATAATAAACCCGATATTAATATGCATACCATTGGTATATGTACAAACAAACTGTATAATATAAAAGTTCTAGCTTGAAAGCTGAAAGAGGATATAGTTGTACAAACCATGTGACCCACGTAAAGTTTATCATCTTGTCACTTGAGAGAAATTAAATCAACCTTCATAGCTATTACTAAAGACCCCTATTCAGTGTTATCCCCAAGGACCTTATAGAACCATAGACGGTACTATGGTGTTATATTTTTTTCCATTTTGCTACATGTATCCGATACAATTTTTCATAAAAGTGGGCTATAATTTTAAGGAAACAGTGCTTTAGCAAATCCCATTTTCCAATTTGATAAAAAATGGGGAAAAAACTGCAGTATTGAAAACTTACCGATGGATTTTGTGGAAAAACTCTTTCTTTACATAGAGGGCAGCACATCACAGGAAATTTCTTTATTGATTCTACTAAGAATTTAACAACTGGTAAAACTGACGGCTGTGGTTCAAATGGAGGATCCCTGAGAAGAAAAAAAATTTTGTGAATGACTTTGTATTATCCCTTTATATTTAATTAGGACTTATCATATGTAGGAGAATTTCTCTTCCTTGTGAGTTTATACATGTATTCATAACCAGAATTTACAGATGACATTCAAATAAGTTTTCGTTTCAAAATTTAATAAAATACTAAAATAACAGAATATTTCTCCTGCAACAAGTTTGAACTGTTTGACATTTTTTTCATGCCTCGTTTAAATTGTTTCACATTTTGTCATTTCTTGTTTGAATAGATTCACAATTTGTCATGTCTCATTTGAAATGTCTCACATTAATTTTGTCATGTCATTGGACTTTCATAGCTGACTATGCTGTATGGGTGTTGCTCATTATTGAAGGCTGTACCGTGTACTACAGTTCCTTACATCAACATCATTTGGACTCTAGTGGATAGTTGTCTCATTGGCAATTATACCCCATCTCTTTATTTTTATATTCAGATAACAATAAGAGAAATTACTTTACAAATTAGCAACCTGGATTTCAACATGATTTCATTAGAAGTCTCTGTGAAAAAAGGGTAAAAATCTTTGGTCAGAAGCTCAATAATTTAATTTCAGACAGTTAAGATGAATTTAAATTTTAAATGATGGCATAATCTCTCTGATATTCAAACATTGTGATTTAAAATGTTTTACAAAAATGTGTTCAGATGGTATTTTTGTTTATGGTAAGACAGGTAGTGTAGAAGAAGAAAAAATGATGCCATGCCACATCAGAATACAACCTACAAAGCTAATGTTTTTTTAATGCATAACAGGTGCATTCAAATATTAGTCCAACCATAATTGACTGATGTGTACTTACTTAGGTTTTTTCTTTATTGGAGGTTGCACACATTTTCTGGCTATTTCTATTGCTTGTGATATAAAATTGACTTTTAATATTTCTGGAAAATTATGCTCTTCTAATTCAACTCTAAAATAGAAATCAGTTTTAATTTTGTAATTTAAGATAAGTCAAAAATAATACTATAAACCAACTTAACACTTCCTCTCCGACTTTGCTGCCATTTATTTTCTGGATTTACAAACTTTGCTGCTTAATTTCTATAAGAGAAGATTGATGCAATAAATCATTGTGAAGGAAATAATACCAGAATAAGTTTTTTTGGCCATTTAACACTTTTCAAAGGGAACTGTCCCTTATAATAAATAACATAGCTATTGTTCTTTGTGGAGTTCATTAAATGAGAACTTACTTTTTTCATTAAAAAAAACAATCGATCAATTGCAAAATTTTAAATGGCCAGGTAAACACCATCTGATTCTGAGGAAAGGTTTAATTTCCTTCACATAATTACAATTTATATATGAAATTCACATAAATAAATCATTAAAAAATGTTGGTTTACAGCATTAGTAATCTTCAATTCTAGACAGAGTTGTCCTAATACAGTTTGAAAAACAATTCCTGAACAGTTTTAGCCATAACCCCCAAAGTCAAACCCAACCTTCCCTTTGTGGTATTAAACCGTGTGTTTCAATTTCATAGAGATCCATAGACTAATACTTAAGTAATTGTCCATTAACCAGAAAAACCTTGTTTTTCCACCCTTTTTTTGCCCCTAATTCCTGAACAGTTTGGGCCATAACCCCCAAAGTCAATCCAAACCTTCACTTAGTGGTATGGAACCTTGTGGTACAATTTCATAGAGATCCATACACTTATACACAAGTTATCATCTGGAAACTAGAAAAATGCCTTTTTTGGCCCTTTTTTGACCCCTAATTCCTAAACAGTTGGGACCATAACACCTAAAAATCAATCCCAACCTTCCTTTTGTGCTATTGAACCTTGTGTTTAAATTTCATAGAGATCCATTCACTTATACTTAAGTTATTGTCCAGAAACCAAATGTCTTCGGACTACGACGAAGACGACATGATACCAATATACGAACGCAAATTTGTTGCGGTCGTATAAAAAGTTACATACTTAAACCTCAGAGTACTGAAGTAAATTGTATAAAAACTTACTTGACTTGTTTAAGAGGATATTCTTCAGGCACTACTAAAACAAATTGCATGAAATATTGTTCTTGTGTTATCCTATAGACAACTTTTGATGTTGCTTGTTTTAATATGACAGTGTCGTCTGATGTTAGTAATTTCTTTTTCACAGATAACAGTTCCTCACTACAAACACATAACGGGTTTTCTATTAAAAATTCCTTTACAAAGTTGATCATTAACATCACCTGAAATATATAACAAGAATTTAACCTTTGTTCCATTAATACCCTCAAATCCTAGAAGTATGTCCAGTGCACGATGTTTTACCGATATTGTCAAAATCTACCTTATAGTGTCATTATTGTGTTTACATTGTATCGTATCTATACCTTGTGTTTACACAATAGACACTACGATGTTGACAATATCGAGTCGACATCGTGCTTATATTGTATAACAAATTTAGTCCTTTGTGTTTACATAGTTCACATCATAGACATTGTGATGTCGATAACTGCGAGTCAACATCGTGTTTATAATGTATACTAAGCCTATACCGTTGTGTTTACATCGTTCACATCGTAGACACTGTGTTTATATGGTATACCAAGTCTATACCTTTGTGTTTACATTATTCACATCGTAGACATTGCGATGACAACAATAGGGTGTCAACATCATTTATATTGTGTCCCGAGTCAATACCTTTGTGTTTAAATTGTTCACATCGTCAACATTTCGATGTAAACACGATGTTGTTACTACATTGTAAACATCGCGATGTTAACAATGTCAACGATGTAAACAGTATATAAGAGTTCTTAAAATGTTAACGATGTTGACACAATATCATGTTAACATTGTAAATATCGCGATGTTGACAGTATTGTTTTTTCATTATGCACTGGACGTGAATGAAATCCTATTCGACTATTCTAAAAAAAATATCAAATTAAACTTTTTTTACACTCTGATTATCGTACAGGACTATGTTTGTAAATTGAACATGAACACTGTCATGATGGGGGACTCTTGATTTCTTAATAGTTACTTTTAACGCTTTCCTTAGGGACAGGTGATTAGTTGTGTGTCCAACCAAGCACTACCATTGTTGGGTAGGGCTTTCATGAACAAATGGTCTAAGAAGTTGATTTCCAGTGATTATCTGAGGTTGTGAGTTTGAACCCTGCTCGTGGCAAGGTGTGTTTGACAGGGATTGCCAGTTTTCCTGTTAATTGTACTCCAGCTTCCTCCACGTCTTTGAACTGGCCACCATGATAAAGCCAAGAGTGCTGAAAGTGGTGTAATCTTCCCCAAACAATCATTTTTTGTTGGGTTTATCTGTGCATGTATTTTTTTGTTGGGTTTTTGCCTCAAGCACTAAGAAGCATTTTGTTCACTTATTCTTGTTTCATAAATAACTTTCCACATCAATAAGTTTTAATCTGTTTGTAAGTTAAACTTCATATATTGAATAGTGCATTAAATAAAACAGAAACTGCTATTGTCTTATATCACAAATTATTTTAAAAAATTAATTATAAAATACTGTGGATTCATTATTAATTTATCCGAGAGATACCAATTTTTGTGGATTTCATGGGTATAAGTAAACCTTAAAATTCAACAAAGTGCACATTTTCTACAGGCTCGTTTTCAGACTTTGGTAAAACAATGAAATCAAATATCCACTAAAATGAAGGTTTTCCTCAATACTCGAAAAATAAGTAACAACAAAAAATAAATGTCTGATTCTACAGTATCATGTTTTAATTTGATATACCTGTTTTTGACCGAGCCATTTTTTCGCTTCCTCTTCACAAATTTTTGTTATTTTATCACAGACTTTTTCAGGCAATGTTTTACTCTTTAATTCTATAACTATAGGTTCCTGTGGGTATTGTGCTGGGAACTGCATACATGTTGTAATTGTTCTAAGACCTGTTAATCTGAAACATAAAATTTCTATGAGTGCTAGGAATGATTACTGTAAATTAAGAAATTACTACGACGTTTTTATTAATGCGTGTAATGCGACAGTATCAAGTTCGCAATATTAACAACTCAAATTCATAATTTCAGTAGTGATTTTCCTTCACAAAATATTTGCAATCGCTTTTTCGAACAGTAATTGCTACTTCGCAATAATAAATACACACATTAAATCTGAATGTACAGTAATTAATAAATAACTCCAAATGTCACTACTGTCTTATGAATAAACACATGATTGCAGCAGATTTCTTGTTGGAATTTGGAGTTCTAAAGAATCAAAAACTCTTTTCATTTTCAAATCAATTGGGGAAAGAGCTATTATGGATAATTCGTGGCAAGGTGTGTTTGACAGGGATTGCCAGTTTACCTGTTAATGGTACTCCAGCTTCCACCACAACTTTGAACTGGCTACCATGATAAAGCCAAGAGTGCTGAAAGTGGAGTAAACTTCCCCAATCAATCAATTTTGTTGGGTTTATCTGTGCATGTATTTTTTTGTTGGGTTTTTTCCTCAAGCACTAAGAAGCATTTTGTTCACTTATTCTTGTTTCATAAATAACTTCAAACGTCACTACTGTCTTATGAATAAACACATGGTTGCAGCAGATTTCTCGTTGGAATTTGGAGTTCTAAAGAATCAAAAACTTCATTTTCAAATCAATTGGGAAAGAGCTATTATGGATAATTCTCCAAGTCCTAGTGCAAAAACGTCTGCAAAAAATTGTTCTTTCTGAACAAAACTCTTCTCTTCACTGTCCCCTCATGTTTCTTGACATAAAAATTGGTATTAGTAAGACCTTAAGTTTATCTCTGTAAAAGTTCATAATTCAAGAAGTCTTCAGGTGATTCAAATCTCATCACTCAGTGTGGCTACTTGTCTGTCATTGAAGACCATGAGATCACAAAAATAAGTCAATTTCTTGTGAAATTGTGTATAGAATGCTTGGCGTCTCAATGATGTTTACCCGATATTCCTTTTAATTATTTTTATATCAGCATACAAATGAACTGAAAAAAGACTTACCTGATAGTTGCTCTAACAATGTTTCGTACAGCTGCTTCCAAAGTTACTCCTTCAATATTTGGAGCCTTCTGTTGAACATGTGCTAGTTCTGATGAAATTATTTCTTCAACATCAGCCATTTAACAATATTTTGATATTCAGGCCATGAAATCTGGAACAAATGTAGAAATTATAAAACAAAAGCAAACTATTAAACATGACAGATTTCCTAGTGTATCACTGTAGATTTGTTTATTGAATTGAAAAAATTTGAAACATTTGTTAAGATTGAGTCACAAGTTTTCTACACAATATATACTATAAAGCTAAAACAGAAAATGTTGTCTGTTTAGAAAAGCTTTGTCAATGTTGTCCCATAAGGTGCTTTCATTTCACAATGCAATTAAAACATTTTGTTGACTCTTATTAAAGTTATTTCCATTACATGTTAAGTAACTCATATTTAGCTTGGCATTTTCCATACATTAACTGTACAAATTATGAAATATAGTAAATTTCCATCAACATGAGCTGGATATTGAGAGTATTAGGATTGGGGTCCCTCTAAAATCTAAAATCACATACAACTAAAGGTAAACATGTATGCTTTTTTGATTGTTTGTGAAATCTTTACACTAAAAATTAAAGTGACTAAATCTGTTGGATGTGCACTAATTAATACTATAGTCTAGGAGAACATGATTTGTTAATTAGTTGTTATTGGCTTTGAACTAGCTTTTAGTTACTATGAGTAATCTTAGATTGGTACTTTGCATTTTTTGTGCTTCTTGCCAAACTGATGAGTCAAGCCATTTCCAAAAGATGTTTACAGGTTGTTCTTATGATGTGCTGTTACTTTACGGTCCCAAGTTAGGATGGTTGAGGGCTCACAAACGTGTTTAACTATGCCACACTTTCTGTGTGTTTGTCCCAAGTCAAGAGCCATAAATTCAGTGGTTGACATTAGTGGCTGTCAGTTACATTTGCTTTTCATTTGTTTTGTCATTAATCTGGTTTTTTGGTCTAAATTGTTTCACATTTTGTCAAGTTGTGGATTTCTATAACTAACTATACAGTATGAGTATTTTTCATGGTTGAAGGCTGTACGTTGACCTATAGTTGCTTAAATCCACTTCATTTGGACTATGTTGGATAGTTGTCTCATTAGCAATCAGACCTGAATCAAATACTTCAAAAAACTGTCTGACTTTTATAGTAATTATTCATTATTTTATTATTGGGTCAGATCGACTTGGGGCTGGAATGACTTGGGCCAGATCGACTTTGGTGTGGATAGACTTGGGGCTGAATTGGTTTGGGGCCGGAACTATCAGATACCTGTAGTACACATGATAAAATTAAGAATGGAAACGGGGGATGTGTAAAAGAGACAACAACCTAACCAAAGAGCAGAAAACAGCCCAAGGCCACCAATGGGTCTTCAATCCCGCAACTGGAGGCTGGCTTCAGCTGGCCTCTTTATAAAAATGTGTACTAGTTCAGAGAAAATGGATACCACACTGAACTCCGAAACATATAGATGAACCAAAATTAAACAAGAATGTGTCCATAGTCACGGATGCCCCACTCGCACTATCATTTTCTATGTTCAGTGGACCGTGAAATTGGGGTCAAAACTCTAATTTGGCATTACAGTTAGAAAGATCATATCATAGCGAACATGTGTACTAAGTTTCAAGTTGATTGGACTTCAACTTCATCAAAAACTACCTTGACTTAAAACTTTAACCTGGAGCAGGACAGACGGACAAACGGACAGACGGACAAACGAACACACAGACCGAAAAACATAATGCCCCTCTACTGTCGTAGGTGGGGCATAAAAAACATACAAGACTAACAAAGGCCAGAGGTTCCTGATTTGGGACAAGCGCAAAAATACGGCAGGTTAAACATGTTTTGTGAGATCTCAACCATCCCCTATACTTCTAGCTAATGTAGAATAAACAAACACATAGCAATACGCACAGTAAAACTCAGTTTAAAGGAAGTCTGACTCTGATGTTAGAATAGGTAAAAGAAGAAACTAAGCAAAATGACAATGATAACATAAATTAACAAAGGACTACTAGCAATCACTGACATGCCAGCTCCAGACCTCAATTAAACTGATTGCAAGATTATGTCTTCATCATATGAAAATCAAGCACAATCCCTCCTGTTAGGAGTTTAGTATAATACCATCATAAAATATATGAGAACATAACCTGTATTATACCGACAACTAGTTTTAGAATAAATGTGTTTATTTCCGATTTAAAGACCCTATGAGTGAATCAATATTATTTCCAAAAAATGCCATCTTTAATGACCTGACAACAGTATCGTAACTATATCCCTACTGAATGAGTCTGTTTAAAGGTTTGGTTAACTTTTGAGGTGAATGACGACATTTCCGAGCTTTGAATAGAATATTACCATAAAAGATTGATGTGAAATACCTGAACGTAAAAGATGTCTACACGTTGATTTATATTTACAAATAATGTCCTTGTATGGATGATAAAATTTAGTGAGTGTTTTGACAAGTTTGCGATATCGAAAACCCTGGTGTAATAATTTTTCTGTAATACAGCAATTTCTTTCTTTTAAATCAAATACATTGTTACATACATGAGTGAATCGAACAAGTTGAGATATATAAACACCATAAGATGGTGACAAGGGATGTCACCATCTAAAAATGGATAATTAACAATATGAAATGAAATCAACTCTTATATTGTAACTTTTGGTATTAAGCTTATAAGATATATAGATATGAAGATCCAGGAAAGGGCAGTGTTCATTGTTAGCATTAGCTTTATTTAAAGGCAGTACAGCAGGATAAATCTACATATAACTTTCACCAAAAACAGTACTGAACATAAACTCTGTAGTGCAGTATCTCAAAAAGAAAAGGAAGATCACATTTATCACCATCAAAACAGAATACGATATCATACAAGGAAAGTTGTATATTTAAAAACCAATGTGAGCCACGTAGTCACCCCCCCCCCCCCCCCCCCCCCCCCAAAAAAAAAACCACCACCACACACACTGTCACACACATACACAGTCCTTCCTTCCCCCTTTTTAGTTTTATGCTGGTAAGACTGTTTTATCTATTTCTCATATTCGTCGTGAATGATAAAAAGTAGTGTGATATTGAAACTATTCTGATATGTCAAAAGATGTCTTTAAATAGTCGATTAAGTATTCTAATGTGAAATATGTTCCTTTTTCGTACCTACACACAGATATTTCTCAACACAAACCTCGTAATGTCAAGGTCAGAAATTGATACACACTTTTGTTTATTATCGTTATTCTATAATTGATTAAAGAAAATTATCTTTTTATTACAGATTATTTAATTATTGCTTGTCAATCATAATTTGCTCAATAAAAAAATTTGTTATTGTAAATCAACGTAATTTTTTTAGTGTATATCATTTCATTTCCTATAGTCTGTTTCTTATTTCGCTTTTGGAGACGTTTCGGAGATGTTTCGGCCACACTATTTCGTACATTAGACACGAAACTGTCTGACCATCGGTTTAAAAGTAATTCTTTAAAGTATAGTTTTAAAAGATAATTATTTTGATAAAAAAACAAAGAAAAATAGGCAGTTTGAAATTTTCATGTTTTACATTGACTTTGCAAGTTTCATAATCAATTGATTGTCGAGTTTATGAGCTTCGGTCCTTGCTTGGAAGTTGGACTTTCATGTGATATGTGACAACCTTGACATCTTAGAATTTTTTTCACTTAATGACCCCATCCTTCTCTTCCGGATGGAAAAGGGGTTTAAAATTTAGCTCATTTGGATGTTCAATTTCATATGTCACTGGCATGACCCCATGTGCCATGGCAAATTCCAAAAAAAAATGATATCAGTTTTGTAAAAAGAAGTTATGAAACTTAAAAAGTCATGAACATTTCAAACTGCCTTATTTTTCTTTGTTCTTAAGTGATTTAGAAAAGTGAAATGTTTAAGAAGGTATGCTTTTCGCATATCAAATGAAAGGTCGTAGAGAGTACATTTCAAATATCAGACAGTTTTAAGGGAAAGGCCTTTCAATTGTTTTTACAATCAATTGAGATACTATTTTTTCATATTGTTCCTCTTATTCATACAATATTATTATCGTGCGAAATATTGTAGAACTATTTCATTCTTGATTTGACTGTAACTTGTAGTCAGTTTTCTTGAGAAACGGAACTTCTCATTAGCTCTTTACATTGACTCATTTTCCAAACGTGACTCAAATCAAGAATTTACATTTCACAGATAGATAGTTCTCTGTAACATTTGTTTTATGAGAATAAAGTATTCATTCATTCAATATTTCGATTGAAAACAAATATACGTCCAATACGAACCTAGAAATTCCATTTATAATTTCATAGTTACGATTTAGAATTAAGAAATTTAATTGAGCCAATAAAGAAATATCATTTTACAAATTAAGAAATGCAGAATTTCATGAAACAAACGAAGAAAATACGTTAACAAATTAAGAAATTGCATTTACACATTTAGAAGTTACATTTCACAAAGGGCGCATTTGCGCCATTTTTTTTACAAAATCCAATCTTTCATTTGCGCCACAAGGTTATATTTCATTTGCGCCATTTTACAGGAAACATATAACGGAAAATGTTAAAATGTTCATTACTACACTCGTGAATTAGAATTTTGTTAGAGTATTCCCCTGGATAACTTAGTAACTTCATACTCATTTCTAATATAAAACTGAGAGTCACTTAGGTTTAAAACTAAATGGCGTTCACATGTTTGAGGTTTCAAGATGGACATTTTCAATTCTGAGACAAACATGATGTTATATTTTTCATGTCGGGGCTGTTTGTAGCCGACTATACGGTATGGGTTTTTCTCATTTTTGAAGGCCGCACGGTTGCCTATAATTGCTTTCATCCACTTAATTTGAACTTTGGTTAAAGAATTGTATTTTAACATTATTATGAAAAGGCTCTCATTCGGAACGTATCAGTGTGCTTTCATTATGGTTACGATGACTGATTTCGGAGGAAAATGTTTTATCATGCAATCAAAAACTATGTTTTGAAGTTAGTATTAAAAGTCTATTTTGAATAAAACTTTTTTTGTATATTATTTACCTGTATATACTATTTACCTGTATTATTGGCGCAAATGAAAGATTATTTTGGCGCAAATGAAATGCCAATTGGCGCAAAAGCAAACGGTATCGTTCACAAATCAAGATATATAGAAATTCATGTAACGGATCGAAAAAATACATGTTACAAATTGAGAAATTACAGTAACAAATTAAGAAATTGCACTTTACAAGAAATATATTCCCTTCCATAATAGCTTAATAGAGGAAATAACTGCCATAGAAGGAAAAATGTAAATTCTTGACTTCTTTTATTACAAGAAGGTTGAGAAAGGAACTGTGGGGTAACTAAATGTAGATGTTTAATACATGTAATTCAGTCAGCCACAAGAATTTAGCAGATTACAACATACTGTTCATGCTCTGTGTTTATTTTATTTATTTCATATTAATGACATTGATTACAAGTTTGTAATCAAATCCATGACATAGTTGTTTCAATTTCGAAAAAAAAAAGAATAACATGAATTAAAAAAAAAATCAAAATGTATCAAGTAACACAACTGACCACCTGAACCATCAACAATTGCCCTTAAACATATAAGAACTGCAGAATGTACAAGAAACAATCATACAAAGTAACTTTTGCAATAAGATATATGAAAATAGTGGAATTAATTATTTTGGAGTGTAAAAATTCTTTGGATGTTTTAGATAAATTACATGCTTTTGATGTTCCTTTTGATACTGTTGACAGTTTCGACTTTTTAACTCTTTACACTACACTTCCACATAATCCTATTAAACAAAAGTTTTCCTATTTAATTAAATGGTCGTTTGGTAAATCTGAATACAAATATATTTGCTGCAACTCATTTAAAGCCTTCTTCTCTAATGAGAAAGGTAAACATGCTATACTCACTGGATGTGTGATGAGATGATTGAAGCTGTTAATTTTCACTTTGATAATATTTATGTACGTTTCGGCAACCAAATTTGTCGACAGGTTGTAAGTATTCCTATGGGCACAAATTGCGCCCCTTTAATAGCATACTTGTTCTTGTACTGTTATGAATCACAGTTTATGACCACACTCAGTAAAGACCCGTCTAAATTGCATTTAATTGATAAATTCAACAACACTTACCGTTATCTTGATGATATTTTTTCGTTAAATAATCAAGAATTTTCTCAATATACTGCAGAAATTTACCCAAAGGAACTTACTTTAAATAAATCAAATATAAACAGTAATAACTGTCCTTTCCTATATTAAGATATTTCAATCTTACACGGGGAACTCTACACTAAAATTTACGACAAAGGAGACGATTTTTCGTTCCCTATTGTTAATTTTCCTTTTTTGGACGGTACTGTTCCTTTGGCACCATCTTACGGTGTTTATATATCACAACTCGTTCGCTTTGCCCGTGTCTGTTTTGACGTTTTGGATTTCAATGAACGTTATCTATGTATAACTGGTAAATTATTAAGTCAGGAATTTCGTTACCACAAATTACTTAAGACCTTTACTGAATTCTTTCATAGATATAAGTATTTGGTTTTGAAGTTTGGTTGTACCTGTAGAAAACTTATTTCAAACGGGATAGCACATCCTCACTTTTACGCAGATGTTGTTTACCGAGCCCGGAAATTCAGAAACGATCCGGATAAACTTATCGATCCTTTAAATAGACTTATTCTAAAAGGTTACCAATTCAACACTGTAATTAGATCTTTGAATATTGTGTTTTTATTGGTATTAATATTGATATTTGTTATCAGTAAATTGTAATCAAACTAAATATTATTTTTATATACATATGCGCATTCATGGCTCTACAATCTGTCGATACCTGTATATTGGCATTGCACAAGGTCATATTTTTCTCCGACTATTTATGACGTCTTTACACTAAATCCATTTGATGTTGGATGTGTACTGATTGATATTTTAGTCTTAGATGCATGCTTTTTTTATTAGTTGTTATTGGCTTCGAACTAGCTGTCAGTAACTGCGAGTACTCTCATATCTGTACTTAGTGTCATTTTGTTGTGGGGATGTATAAGTACCCATTCACGTCCACTCTGTGTTTTTGTTAGATGTATTTCTATTTGTAACCATCTGATGAGTTAAACCTTTTCCAACTGATTTTTATAGTTTGTTATTATGTTGTACTGTAACACCCCTTTCCCAGGTTAGGTGGAGGGTTGGCACCTTCAAACGAGTTTAACCCCGCCACATTGTGTATGTGCCTGTCCCAAGTCAGGAGCCTGTAATTCAGTGGTTGTCGTTTGTTGCTGTGTAACATATTTGTTTTTCGTTCATTATTTTGTACATAAATAAGGCCGTCAGTTTTCTCGTTAGAATTGTTTTACATTTGTCATTTCGGGGCCTTTTATAGCTGACTATGTGGTATGGGCTTAAAAATAAAAATCATGCACAGTCCATCAAACAATAAAATGATCGCTAACATAAAATAGGAGGCAACGGCAGCATATCGTACACCCACTTTGGTTACTAGTACTTGTATACAAATATAAAAAATATACTGTACAAAAGGTAGTCAATTAAAGCCATAAACAGCGAGGTCGGTTGTGTCGAAAGGATAAGCGTCTTTTACTATATGCATTGAAAGCATTATCCAGTCTTCAGACAGAGCAAAACTGTGAAGCATTTAACTCCTTTTCGATCTTTTGTACCCACAGAACCTATCCTATTTGATAAAATGTTAAAAACTTCTATCACGGTTATCGACTTAGATATGGCTGAAATGTTTGACACTCGACTTAAAAATGCAACTACAAGTTTCTTGTAGTTGTCTACAGGGAGATGGAAACAGAGTAAACAGTATGTTAGTACTTTGATTATTACGGTCAATATATTATGTCCCAGACAGAAATAAGATTGGTTTATAGTATAATAAAACATCAGCAGCAAAAGTTATTAATATAACTATAATTATAGTCATCCCATATTTTTGCGAACCAATAAAATATGTTCAGCAGAATCTGTTATCCATAGAGTTGAAATGAATCAATACGATAGAAGTAAGCTGTGACATGATATATTCTCAGAAGTAAGATACGCATATGTTGATAGTATACAATAATAATAAAAAAAATCATTTATACTAGCATATGAGAATTTTGAATTTTAGTTGAGAACTCTTAATAACTGGTTCCA